ATCGGTGTCCGAGGGCTCTTTTCTCGAACAGTAGGTGCGATACCTGTTCTTTTCTTTCTTTCGATCATTTTGTTTTCTTTTTCCGAGTGGTTTGTATCCTATTTTTGTTTTTTGTTTTCTCGCGGCGTCGTATGTGCCGGGTTTTGAGACCACGGGCTCCCCATTTTTTGTGGACTATAGAGCTAATGTGAGAAACAACAACAAACAAAAACACGTGTGAGGTCGCTAGCCCGCGCGCAGGAAACAACCCACGTCCCACACAACAGACGATGGCCGTCGATTGGTTTATTCATTGGATGGATCGACCATCGTGAAATGCACTGCTGTGTGTACCGGGTTCTTTTTTATTTTTCGGTTTTGATATTCTACACTCGTTGACCGCGGGAGCGCCGCCTACATACAGCAGCGCGAGCAGGGAGCTGTGTCTACCGACGCATGTCGGACAACTTTATGCGACCCTCGTTGTTGACACCCTTGTGAACGCTAAAAATAACTTCCAAAGGCTGCGAAAGAGAGACCCCAACGTCTCCTCTCCGCTTTTTCCCATTTGTATTTTGGTACTTCAACATGGCTTGCATAGGGCTACATATATGCAGCAGACTTGGTAAACCATGGCAGACCTGCAGACATTCTACCAAACAAACAGGTAGCTCACGGTAGTCTACCGCACACCATGTTGACCAAAAAAAGTGCAAGGCAAGCGAGGCAAGCAAACAGCAAAGAATACCGCTACATGTACCCACCCCAGGTCACATCCCATCTTGCAGCGAAGCGCGCGTTATGCGCAATTTACCAAGGTTGTCGAAGGACCTCATAAGGGGGTTTTCGCAGAAGCATCGCCCGTAAGTCCACACCTCTTTACGACAAGCATGCAGTCTGACGTGGGGGTGTTGGGTGGCACTTGCTACGGCGAGGTTGCACGTCTTGCGATTGATTTCAACATTTTCCAACTCGTTGATCAAGGTGATGTTGAAGGTGAACGTGTCGAATCCCATGCCGCTGACACTGGGTAGGAACTTGCTCTTCTTCGCGTGGTTTTGCTCATGAGTGTTGCAGTTGGTTCCCGAGATCTGTGGGCAAGAGGAAAGACCGGCAAACATATCTTGGCAAGAACCTTGGTGGTTGCCCTCGTGTGGCCCGTCCGGCGCGAGCCAAAGACCCACTCTCTTGTTGTCGTAGAAGTGGCCGAAAGAACTAAACTCTCGACCCCGCCTGAAGTTGAAGGAGATGTCGTAGCCAGAAAGCTTCCCGTCTTCGCCTACCCCCCCCCTAGAGAGTCGCCAGAAAGCGCTATCTGCAATGCCTTGACGGAGTGCTCGGCCACGCCAAAACCGACCCCTCCTTGGATCAAACGATCTGTTCCAAATTGCACAGCGAAAAACATGGGGAACAAAAAGGTTGAGCCGATCATGTACTGAGATATTGAGATAGATTCACGTTCCCCGAGCAAGTGGAGGTTGTGGGTTGACTTTCCAATGAACATTACGCGAGCCCTCGCTAGGAGCATGGCGTTGGGGGCCGCATGCAGAGGCAGAGCCGGGCGACACAGAAGCATGTACTACACAACAGGCCCTTAGCGCCGACACTACGTTACGCAACGACCCACTGAACACGACCCACTGAACACACCGGTGCAACCGACAAAAATAGGCAGAAGCTTACGGCCAACACTCTCACATGCGCGTTCGGATGCGTGTTGGTCTGCGGGTTGGAGGAGGCTTGCAATATACTCGACCTGCATGGTCGCGATGGCGCGAGGATTGCGTCAGACATAGAAAGCTCCACCACACGCAGCAAGTGTACACTCACCCCAGTGTGCCCGTTCATCGACCTTCCTCCACACCACCCGCTGGGTTCGCCTTAGTAAACGAACAATAATCGCCGCAACAATAACAAACCACTCCCTTTTCTACCTCGCAAGACAAAACACACGTGCCAATACATCGGAGGATTCTTGGAGCCGCCGTCTGAGGGGAGCCTGCCGCTCCCCGGCGCCTAGCGGGGTAACCCTGAAGGACATGGTCGCGGGAGATGTCGAGGACATCGCGGATCTGTTTCTCGAGGCACACGGGAAGGGCTGCGGCTGGGACCGCCGGGCGGATATCACCAGTTGCTTGGAATCCGGCGTCCCGTTCCCGATGTGAGTTGGGTCAGCTGAGCAAGGGGGCGTGATTACCGAATGGAGTGGGTATTTTTGTCATTACGTGAGTAGAATGAGAGTAGACTGCTTTTGTTCCAGGATAGCGTCGTGGATAAAGGTGTCCGGGAGAAGGGAATTCACTTGTAGATAACTCCCGCAACATGGACTGGTAGCAGAGTTCCATGGCCATAACTCTTCCCAGGCTCTCTCCATTTGCTCTCCGTTCATGGCATCATCCATTGCTGCTATCCTGTTTTCATCGGGGAAAGGTGGGGGGATCGACGGAAATATCAGGCTGGTGGCCCGAGATGCAGATGGCAGGGTGGTTGGCTACACCACAGGTGGGCTACATATATATATGCTCCGTCGGCACGACGATCATCAAAGATTGACTCTTGATACGCGGTCGTGTGGCCTTATTTTAATGGAGGCTGTGACTGCAAGGCGTTCAGTGAGGGATCTTGACGAAAATTGACAATAAGTCTATGCGTGTTGATTCGCGGAAAACGACCACCACGGAAAAGGATTAACAACGCTACCAAACCATCAGCAAGCAGGACAACGAAAAGAAGAGTTGATCGCAGGAAACCATCAGATCGGCAAGGAACGACGCTAGAACCGGGGCCGGGAGGGCAGAACGCCAACTCGGAAGACCACATGCTTCACACAAGTAGTACAGGGCCAGGGGCTACAGCGCAACGATACGCGCCCTGCCTAGAGACGTAGACATGCCTAGATTCACCACGGTATAACGACCATCATTTCCTACCAGATGATTGTTGTTGTAACACGCCTCCTATCATCTCTCTGTCTGATTCTTACAGCATGACGTGCGTACCCATCATGATCAGCCCCGTCGCTCGTTGACGTTGAGTTTGTCGTTGTTCGTTGCGCCTGTCCTGTGTCGTGTGCGCTTCCGTGGTGGGGGGGGCGGTGTTGGGGTTCGGCCGTGCTTCGGGGGGTCGATATCTGTTTCGGGTCCGTGGAATCCGCAAGGTTTCTACATAATAATGGGACATACCGTGGCGAAGTCTCATGACATCATCTGCGACATGTTCCGAGAGAGCTCGAAGCTGCACCAGCAGGCGGGGCTGCCTTGCCCAAGGTAATATCTCCCGCCTTCCCCATTTCTGGTCAACTTTGGCTCCGTGAAACACTCTGTAGCAGCCTTCAGAGATCACGTGGCCCGAAGTCATGTTTCCCGCCACTAAAGCAGATGTATTGTTTTTTCGGTACGCTCCACTATCAGCGCAAAATGCTTCCACTTCGCCATTTCAATGTTGTACCGTGGCTTGAGCTCGGGGTCACGGACAGATTCCGCTCACGGAGCCCCCTCTGCCTGTTTGAATCTGCCGTGGGGCAACGACATTTTTCCGTTTTGACCGTTCCGTGTGCCGTATATTGAGTCCGATGATTGTAGCTTCCGGTGTGTACGCAAACCAGACGGTGAAAAACCTCTGCATAGACTCTTGGTAGAAGGACTCTTCCTCCCAGAGCGTTTCAGCAACGTGTAGGGACGATATAAACAATCCCAGGACCCCCGACTATCAGTGCTGGAGCAGCCACAATCTTCCATACATGGCTATAAACAGACTTGCGGGAAAAATGGGAACGTACCCAAAAATGAGAATTGGCGTTTTTCTTCAGAACCATCGGGTTGTTTGTTGTTGTTGTTTCTCACATTAGCTCTAAAAAAAAAAAAAAATTGGGAGCCCGTGGTCTCAAAACCCGGCATACACGACCCCACGAAGAAACAGAAAAAAATAGGGTACAAAAACCACTCGGAAGAGAAAAAAAATGATAGAAAGAAAGACCAGCTACCGCACCAAACGAGAAAGAGCGTCGAGGAGACCGATCAAAATAAAATAAAAGGAGAACGGGGAACGCTTCCCACACCCACCTACAACGCCGGAGGGTTCCGTGCCGGGTTCCCGCCGACCAGGCATCCCCCGCCCTGCACCACACCCCAGGGGGTGCAGCAAGACGGGGGGCGAAAA